GCGAGAGCGACGAGAGCAAGAGTCAATGAGCGACGAGCCGACGATTCATCTACATGCGATTTGATTCCAACAATCCAATGGTAACTCGGCAAGCGGCTCAACTGGCGATTTTAGGATGAAGTTTCCAATGCGTCACCGTCGACTTAAGGTTAATTTCAAAATTCGAACAAGTTAAACTCAAACCTTCACAGTTTCACTTTCAGTTCATCTGTTCATGTTTCTCAAATCTCAATTCTAGTTTATATGTGTAATGTGTTAATTGTTATGATTTTGGGTTCACTGTTTCTCAATTCTCACGGTTATGTTCTAATTTCGAGTTCAAGATTTATTTCAATTGTTGTTCAAGTTCATCATCATTCACTCGGTGGGTGTATGGCAGCAACAAAAAGGTATCTATTTTCTATTTATGTGTACAACTTATTTTTATTTGTCATGATAAGATTCGTATTTATCACCATAGATATTCGAACATTGAACATTTTGTTCAACAGTTTTGCCGATAACGTTTAAAGTTAGGCATTAGTTAGATCACTGTTTAGGGAAGATATAAGTGAACCAATGAATCAAGAACCCATGGAAGTTCTAAAGTGAGTGCAGTCTGCCTTTCTTGAAACTCTAGAGGGGAATTTAGAACAAGTCATAATGCCAATTATCCCATAATACAGGGCCATGTCAAAAATCTATTTTTTTGCACTTATGCAGATATAAATATATGTTAATCATAATACACAGAATTATAGAACGCTTAGACATTGATGTGAACAATCTTTTTCATATTTTGATATTTTCTGCAATGTGGCATGTCTGTGTGAAGTCATACAACCTTTAGTGTATCAATTCAACCATATTATTAACTAGCAAAAGATCAAGAATCACATAGGGATAACAGTTATTATTTCCATGTGTTTTTCCAATTGGTATTTAGCAAATTTGGTGTAATTTATATACATAATAATGTAATACATGATTGACTTATTTGCTTACTAATTATGTTTCAACTTTTTTAAATGGCCGACTACAATTTATTAAAAAAGAAGTTGACTTCTTCATTCTTCGGTATTCCATAATCCAAACTCAGATTCAACCATTCAGCCACTCAGGTGCCTCTGTTCATCTTTATATTGATTTTGTCGAATTGTTGTGAGTGTTAAATATTGATCATGTTGCCTAAAAAGTATAAATACTTGTCTGGAAGTGAGAAAAGGAAAAAAAGAAAGTTGAACAATTGAAACAATCACAAAAAGGAGTCATGAAAAAGTTTGTAAAGACTGTAGGTTCTTCTAATCTAGAGTTAGATGACATTGATGAATAAGATGTTGAACATCCAAATATGAGTGAAGATAATGAAATGATTGATGGTGTGAGTGAACATGAGGTCCCCAATAATACTGAAAAATTATCCATTGATGAACAATCAAATTCCGTTTTTTGATATTTGTGAATCCAAGAAATTGGGATAATCTTGATACTAAATCAAGAGACATCCTAGTTGAAAAAGAACCTATTAGAGAATTGGGTATCGTGTTTCCTTTAGATAACATGTCTAGACATTTTTTTCATATGCTTATTATGGTATAAAGTTAAGTAATGGTGAAACTAGTGATCGAAAATGGTTACTTTATTCAAAATATGAGGATAAAGTGTATTTTTTTTTTTTTTTTGTAAGTTGTTCAAGTCTAAGAATTATAGAAATGCAATAGCTAACGAAGAATTTAGAGATTGGAAGCATCTTGGTGAGAGAGTTAAAGAACATGAAAATAGTATTGAACATATGAATAACATGTTATCTTGGAATGAACTAAAAGTAAAACTGAACACAAACCAAATAATCGATAAAGACTTGCAACAAGATATTGTAAAAGAGAAAGAATGTTGGAGGCAAGTTTTAGTAAGAATAATTGTCGTTGTGAAGTGTCTTTCTAAGTATTCTTTGCCTTTTAGATATTCAAATGAGAAGTTGTATCAATGTAGCAATGGAAATTTTTGGGGTTAATTGAAATGATTGGAGAATTTGATGTGATAATTCTAGATCATATTAGACGCTTTCAAAATCATGAAATTCATTATCATTATCCTGGCCCTAGAATTCAAAATAATTTTTTTTTTTTTGCTCATAATGTTAAAAGTTCTATCATGAAAATTATTAGAGATGCTAAATATTTTTCTGTAATTTTTGATTGTACACCAGATGTGAGCCATCAAGAGCAAATGAGTTTAATCATACGATGTGTGAATATGTCCGGTGATAAAATAAAAATAGAGGAGTATTTTATAAAGTTTTTAAAGGTTGATGATACGTCTGGTTTTGGGTTGTTCAATGAATTATTATATGTACTTAAATCTCTCGATCTTAGTGTTGATGATGTGAGGGGTCAAGGTTATGATAATGGTTCTAACATGAAGGAAAACACCAAGAGGTACAAAATCGATTACTTGAAGTAAATCCAAAAGTGTTATATATGACATGTGTTTGTCATAGCCTTAATCTTACTCTTAGTTATATGGCTCATTCTTGTGTTAAAGTTGTTCAGTTTTTGGAATTATTCAATGCATATACACATTATTTTCTAGTTCTACAAAAAGGTGGAAAGTGTTACTTGATAATGTGTCAAACTTAACTATAAAATCTTTGTGCAACACATGTTGGGAAAGTAGAATAAAAAGTGTCAAGGCAATTAGATTTCAAACTCCTCAAACAAGATCGGCTTTGCTTGAATTATGCAAATCATGTGATGATGCCAAGACGAAAAGTGAAGCGGAAAGTTTGGTAAGTGCAATTGAAAATTTTGAGTTTTTTCTTGGTATGATTATTTGGTATGATGTTTTATTTGCAATAAACATGGTTAGTAAAAGGTTGTAATTAAAATCTATGGTGTAGTGAAGTATTTTGAAAAGTATAAGAATGAAAGGTTTGCATCAAGTATGGATAGTTGGATACTGCTAAAACAATAGCATGTGAAATGAATATAGATCCTACATTTTTAATTAAACGTCGTATTATTAGGAAAAAACAATTTGATGAAAATAACAGTGAAGAAGAAATGCAAGCATTGAAAGAGGAGGCTTTTAGAATTAATTATTTTCTAACCATTGTGGACATGGTAATTTATTCATTGAATAATAGATTTGAACAATTAAAGAAATTTGAAAGTATTTTTGCATTCTTATTCGATTCTGATAAACTAAAATCATTGGATGAAAATGAATTGATGAGATCTTGTGTTCATTTTGGTGATACCTTTTATCATAATACCGTGGCGGATGTGGATGTAAATGATCTTTATTCTGAATTAAAGGTGTTGCAGGTGACTTTGCCAAATAAATCAATGACAGCAGTTGAAATTCTTGAGTTTATCAAAGCTGTAGATTGTTACCCTAATGTTTCGGTTGCTTATCGAATTATGTTGACAATACCTGTGACCGTAGCATCTGCGGAAAGGAGTTTTTCAAAATTGAAGTTATTGAAGACGTACTTGAGGTCATCAATGTCACTAGAAAGATTGAATGGATTAGCAATATTGTGCATTGAAAAAGACATGCTTGATAATATTGATTTAGATGTTATTATTGATGATTTTGCATCCAAAAATACTCTGAATAAGTTGTTTTGTATGAATTAGATGCTATTATTGATGATTTTGTATCCGAAATACTCGAAGAAGTTGTTTTGTATGAATTATTAGTATTATTGTATGAAAGTTTGTTTTTTTAATGATTAAAAACATTTATTTAAGATTTTTTTGTACATATAGAGGGCCCAAAATTCACAAATCGCCCAGGGTCCAAAAAATATCAGAAATGGACCTGATCGTGTTTCAAATTGAGACAAATGTATTCTTGTTGTGCTACCTTAGGTTTACATATTGTTTGGCAGAATTCTTGTGTGACACATGTCGTGGACATATAATAACTTACACTGGAAGTTACAATTGGTATCAGAGCCAACGATTGAATTTTTGGAAGAAATTATGGTTTATTCTTGTTCTATCTTGATCAAAAGTTGCTGAAGGTTTAGCGATCCTTCTTTGATCAATCTTGATCAAATTACTTGACCTTTGCCAAAATCCGATCGATTACATTCAAGATCTAAAGACATCAAAGTAAGTTGTTAGCATCAGATCCAAGACAAAACCCCTTTCGGATTCAGTAAGATGGCCATTTTGTACCAGGTCGATGCACTCCGATGAAAGAGTCCATCTCGCAAGCACTAGGAAGGAAGGCAGGGAGGTACTACTCTTTAATGGGGATTATCATCAATGGAGAATCAGAATGGTTCAATTTCTCGACAACATGAGGAATTTATGAGATCTATCACTTATGGGCCATATGAAGGTTTTATTAATATGACTATGGCCCTTGGAGACGAAATATTTATATTAGGGTTGACGGTTTAAAGTCTGCAAAAGAAATGTGGGACGAAGTTGAAGCACAGATGCAAGGAAGCGTTAAGGCTATGCAGACTTGCATTGTAGCATATGAAGCATTTAAAGCAAAAGAGTCGGAATTCATATAAAAGATTTAATGATATATTAACTGATCTACGAAGAAATCAAGTTCATAAAACTAACAATGAAAATAATATAAGAGATTTTAGGGACAACTTTTCAGAGTCTTTAGATTACCAATAATTTGAACAATCCATGATAATTTTTTAGTATTCTGAATCATCACAAAGACAAAGTTAAAGAAAGAATAGCTTGAGAAGAAGGTTGTCACTAAATCAATCACTAGCACTTGTTTCTGAAAAGAAGCACAAAACTAGTGCTTAAATCTCAAGATGTACTTCGAAGGTTATCAAACTTCACCAGCTCTGACTCTGAACACAATGACTCTGATGTTGAATTAAAGAAAGTAGCTGAAAATTTGGCATCAGTTACCAAAGCCTTTTGAGGTTTTGTAAAACCTACTCCAACCGCCCCATGAATTGGTTATTTCTAAACGAGACCCTGTCTCCACATTGGATCAAGAACAGGGTTAGAAGGATCAAAAACTGTTAATTCATACAGGGCCATTTGTACAAGAAGAGCAACTCCAATAAAGAAAGATGAGGTTGAAGTCTCTAAGTGCTACAATTGTAGCAAACCTGGCCATTATGAGCAAAAAAGGTAAAAAATTTAGAATATTATTCAAGAAACAAAGAGAGAGTCTGATGGTTGAACAACAAAACTTGATTGATGAGTCTTTTCTTTCTTCAGATGAAGATGAAGTACAATTTTGTCTAATGGGCTTAGTGGTTAAGTCTGGTTCCACAACAAATTCCAAGTCTGATCAAGCTGCATCTAAAGCAACTAATTCTAAATCTTCACAGGTAAATCATTCTCTTGAATCTTAAGCAAGATTTCAAGCCAAGATATCATAACTCGAAAAAGATTCTGTCAAAGTTGGAGATGATGACAAAGATTTTAGGCTTAAAATGTCCAAAGAAAGAATTGATCTCTACAGGAAGATCAAACAGCTCGAGGATTTGAATTTTAAAAGAGAACAGACGGAACATACCTTAAATTTGCCTACAAAGACACTAGATTTTACAATCCTAAAGCTTGGTCTTGGTATAACCGAACAGATTGTGTTAAAGAAAGCTTGTATAACTAATCTTTATAACTTTTCAAAGATGAATGTTGAAGATACCAAGGCTAAATGCTTAAATACAAATATTATGAATGAAAATGTAGTTGAAAGGTTTCCTAGCAGGAAAAAAGAGATTTTGTCCAAGTCTAAGCCTATATAGTTCACAAATCTGATTCAAAAGGAAAACACATGCTCTAACTTTAATCCTCCTACTCAAAGTTTTGAACAGTATAATCAGATATCTTACTCGACCAAGGGGTCGTTTACCAAACGCTTACCCGGGTAAGTGCTTACCAAGTCATATTACCTTACCGGATGAATACGGTGAGGACCAAGAATCTTACCGGGTAAGAGCGAGATAAGGACCAAGAGTCTTACCCGGTAAGTGAGCGCGGACTCTTACCATGGGAAGCGCTTACCAGGTAAATTGATGCATACGATACCGTTTTGGTGAACTAAAATCTATCTCGTTAAGTAAATGATAGTTTAATTTTACCAGTCGGGTAAGTATTTGGTAAATGACCCCAAAATGTAACTACAATTCTAAGAATCAGATAGAGTATGAAAATATAAGTTTTAACTCTGACCTTCCCAATCAGTTTTGGGCTTTGTAATCAGATATCTGAGTCTATGAAAGCTAACTCTGATTCAAAGGATCAGACTTACGACTTCAAAAATTGTTCTGCATCTTCCTCAGAGAACACATCCAAAGAATCCAATAATTATATCAAAACAAATGATTCTTGCTAACTTCGACCTGATACAAGATAGTGTCTCGCTGGAGTATGATTGCCAACGTTGACGATGATAGCTGATGGAGAAGAAAGCTAATATTCAACAACCCATTACAGAAAAACAGGTATAACTTCCTTCTTTCAACTGCAAAATCTGATACAAATATTACTATTTTTAAACCACATCTTAAGAAATGCTTAAAAAGGGTTTGTGCTTGAATTTACATTTGCTTCAACAAGTGGTCGTTTCGAATTTACATAGAGCCGAAACTAATGGTGATAGCCATAGCCATTGAAACTCTTAGATTGATTATCCAACAGACTAATATGGTCTTATTCAATGTCTTCCATGGCATCCTGCAATCACCCATCCATGGTTTTTGTGAATTGAAGACAATAATAAATCAAAAATCATGAGGTCGTCATGCAAATGTCTAACCTTGGCTAACCGTGTGACGTATGTTGCAGCCAGGGCTGTTGCTAGTAATCCCACACCCAGAGTCACCAACTGATTACTCCCACCTGCTAAACCCACATTTGATTCTTCTTGCTGCAAACAAATATCAATTTGGTTTTCCATTTTAAATATAAAAGAAACTGTTCTCATTTTAAGGTAGAATTTAGAATTGGAAAAGAAAGAATAAACTCACAATGATTGCTCGACCAAATGCACCGGCACTAACATACGCCCATGTTCCAGGCAGCATCCCCAACCAACTGCATAACATTTAATGGGAGGATGGTGAACAATATCCATGTACACTGTTTTTTATTTTAACATGAAAACATTCCAAATAATGAAATGTTGCAATTCTGGGAAGTGTTGAAATTTTCATAGAATATGAGAAAATAGAAAAAGAAACAAAAATCGTACAAACAATTAACTTAAAGGCTAACCTTCCCAAGACGTATGGGACAAACTTGACCGATGTAAGTCCATATAAGTAATTTCCAAGAGAAAATGGGAGCAATGGGCTCAACCGGAGAAGTGTAACAACTCTGAAAGCATTTTCTCCAATTGCTTTATCAATTGCAAGAAATTTCTTGTTCCCTTCGACCATTTTAAGTATTCGTTCACGAGCAAAATATCTAGCGATTAGAAATGCAACACTTGCTGCTATCTACAAAAGATGCAAAGTCACAGTTATTTATTTGTCTACAATATCAGTGGTTTTGTAAACATCTTGTTCAGTAACTTACAGTCCCACTTATAGAGACAAGGATTGTGCCGGTGAGAGGGCCAAATAGAAGACCAGCTGACATCGTAAGTGGAATGGCTGGTATTGCAAGTACCTACCAAGAAAAAGCTTATTTGCATCGGTTATGTCCAATATCAAACAAAAAAAGGGAAACAAATAAAAGGAAAATGTAAGAAACCATCAGTGGTTTGTAAATTAGTACAAGGCTTGATATTTGTTACTGAGAATGATCGAACACAAGAAAACCATCTTTAAAACACGAAACTGAAATTCATTGATACACACAAGAGAGTCAGTTGCTTACTTCCAGGCCAGCATAAACTGCAACAAAAAGCGCATATCCAGCAGGGCCATAACCTGTGCACATTACAGAATTAAGAGAAATATCAAAGCGCAATTGATGGTTCTGTGATTTAGACCAAGTTAAATCTACAACCCTTATATTAGTAAATATTTATACATACTTCAAACTTTGCATTAAAGCAATAAGCTTCTAGAAGGCCAACCACTACATAGATATACCAATTACGAGTGATTGTGAATGCTAGAGATGGACATGGCAGGATCCAAGAGCTTAGAAAGGGTCAATAAAGAAAAAAGGGTTGGATTAGGTCAGTGGGCAACCATACTTCACTTGTTTTTCTAGTGTTGTTAAGCTATTAAAAGCTCATTAGTTATTTAGGAAGCCTTCACTTTTTGGAGTTGCTCCCAATTTACAGTGAAGATGTTGGAGTATGAGTAATATGAGCTGAAAGACTACCATACAATTTAACTGTTGACTTTAAGAAGGGTTTCAGTGTCCATCTTTTTGTTATATTTATTTAACTATTGACTCTAAGAAGGGTTTAGGTGTCCATCTTTTTGTTATATGCCAATGCCAACCCTAGGTAAACTACCCTTTTACCTTTACGGAATCTAGATGGACTTTACGGGCATGCGGGCAAGCACTTGGAAATACAAGCATTGCTTTTGACTCAAGTCCGTAAAGTGGTGATAAGTGTTTGATCTGGTATAGCTGACTGGGCACAGTTTTAGAATTCGGGTTATTGAGTTCTCTTGGACTATGTTATGAATCAGATCATTAAGTTCGCCAGGAATACGTTGAAAATTGGATTGAGTTTGTGTGGCCTATGCTCGCATTGGGATGTCATGCATGATGCTTCAACAAAAGTTCCAACCCAATCTCAGGCACTTGGTAAGGATTTGTAATTTTTGGTGATGGCAAGCAACTCGTGAAGTTCTATAGTCAACACTGGGCGTCGAGACATTTTATCATGTGACTTCCAATTCTCTAGCCACCATGGACAAGGTCTACCTCTCCGGAACTGGAGGTGAAGCTAGTTTCTTTCATCCCATGTGATTTTATTACCCCAAGGATTCCTTGGTATCCTAGGACTTGATTTTCGTATGATTTTATGCAATATCCAATTCGGATCATGATCCACATAGATGAAGACAAATCTATAAACTAAGCAACTTCCCTCAGATAGCCTATGAAGCATGGTTTCTTTCTATCTAGTTTCTTGATGTTTTCCTTCTTGTTGCTTGTGGCTTTTCACATGAGTAATTAGTAAAGGCAAGATTATGACGGACCTTTGGACCTAGTTGTAAGCACAACTTTTCCATTAAATGGGTTTAGGGTTTAAATATATATTTGGATGAATGTAATAACTTCATTCAGTATATTTTTAGTAATACTTATCATATTTCATTCATCAAATATATGTATACTACTAACCTGGAAACCCAACCCACAAGAGTTGGATTAGGTTATACTATTGAATGGGTTGGGTTGGTTGAGATTTTTCCAAACCGCCACAATTGGCTTGGGTTTTATAAATGTCTCAAACCACCCAACCCAACCCACGTACATCCCAATGAGTAGTGCTATTACTGGAGCTTGATGTCAAGTTATTTTCTTTTATTGAGATCTTCACATAGAGCATCCACAATCTTATGTTTCATCTTAAAAAACCATATTTTAATGCAAAAGCCTTGAGAACATGGTATGAGTAAGATCGTCGAGTACCTAAAGTTTTGTGGTTATGTTGCTTCAATTCATGATGAAAGCATGTTTATGAAAAGCAAATAATAATTAGAATATGGTGGTTCTCTTGTATGTCGATGACAAACAATCGTGAATGAGAAGTAACCTAACTTCAAGAAGAACTTTCAGTGAGGTTCGAATTGAAAAAGTTGGGGAATTTGAACTATCTTCTGAGCTTGGGGGTTGGAAACGTAGAGGGAATTTTTTGTCACAAAGAAGCTTCTTGCAAGGTTAGGACTTAAACAAATGTTCTTCGCCGCTTGATACAAATTCTAAAGATGTTGGATCCCAGTTGGCGAACCCTCAAGCTAATTGGAAATTTGCTGGAAGCTTTATTTATTGGACTATCAGAAGGCCTAATATTTCATTTTTCATCTATTTTTGGCCTTATAACTTGTTCTATACAATAGCCAAACAAGTCACTTGGGGGCAGCCAAGAACATGTTGAAGTACATTAACTTATGCTCTTAATGAGTTTGTTTCATGAAGAGGGTTAAGGTCTTTCTCTTTTATTGTTGGTTATCTGGTACGGACCAATCATATTGAGATACAGCATTGCTTCATTTGTGATAATTCGATTAAGGTTGATTCAATAAAAAGTAACAATAATGTTCACCACATGTCTTCCAAATGACAGTTCTAGTTAGTTTATAGCAAGCTCAGAATGGTTTCAAAAAGTGACTTAAAGGCTTTAGATTCCTTTTTGGAAAGCTGAAGTTGTATCTATTATCTTATATTTCTAGATATATGCTTTCTGATTCTATGTTTACTGGATGAAATTTTAATAACGATATTTACGTACATCACTTACAATCTATTCATGAATGTACCAAGGGCGCCTATATATAACGGTCCCTATAATTGATTAGGAACCGGGGGGACCGCCCATAGCGCGAGAAGTGGCATATTCATCAGGAATATGGACTTGTTATTCATCATGAATGTGTTATTCATGATGAATATTCATCCTGTAGAGGAACATATTGCCAACTGTGATCGATATCCGGATTCCTAATCAATTTTGGGTTTCTAACGGAACTTCCCCGCCTATTTATACCCTTCCTCTTTGTAAACCATTGCAACCCAATTGCAAGTAATCAAACAAGTCATTTTTCTCATACAAGTTTCTCCTCTTCCACTTTCTCTTGGTCAAATCTTACAAAAACCAACTGAAAACAGATCATTATAATAGTGTTTAAAATCTATCCTACTTCCCGGAGAAGCTAAGATCAAGTATATTTGCCAATATGAGTTATAACATTAAGGCAGTGAACATCAGTGGGATTTATATCTTTAACAACGTTTCTTTTATTTGATGCATAAAATTAAACCTATTTCTAGTTCAAACAGTCTTAGCTAAATCCCTCAAGAAGAAGCTTGACCTTTACTTCAAAGGAATTGCAATAGCATCCACTGTTTCATCAATTCCTAAATCCCAAAAATATAATTGAATTGGGAGTCATCAAATAATGTCATACCTTCAATGAAGCTAGAAAACTGAGATAAGAAAACATTGATCTGGTCTCTATAGATGTACCCAACAGAACCAAACCCACCAACAACACCAACAAGCAACAAACCAGCTATAATCGTCCCTTTAATCGCAGTCCCGTTCTCATCATCACCATCACCACCACCATCGCCATCATCATCTTTAGGGTTATTGTTCAAGTTCAAGAGTCTCCTGATGCTGCTCTGCGGCGGTGGTGGTGCATTAGTTTGAAGGGTCCGTTGGCGTTTTTTGGATTGTTTGAGGGAAGAACGAGGTGGGCTCAAGAAATGAAAGCGCTTATTGAAGGGTTTAAAGCTAAAGAAAGTAAAGGAAGATGATGACGATGAACATGAAGAAGAAGCAGAATAAGTTGAGATTGAGAAATGGAAGTTGGGTCTGCTGATTGATTGAGATGATGATGGGAGGCACGGTGGCCTCGGGAGGATGCGCATTTGAAGTGGGTGATTTCAGTTCTCAATTCGATTTGAGTTTGGATTCTTCAGGATAAGAAGAGAAGAGAAGAGAAGATGATGAGTGGTGGTTTTATAGGCATCACAAGTTTTACATGTAATCAAAATAAAATTTGTTTATTGATGCATTTACATGTCATTTGGAAAACAACCACTTAAATTTCTTAAATACACGTTTTCAGTACTGATTATGCATACGCGATCCCCATCCCTCTCCTCTTCTCGATCGAAAACGGGGATCTGGGATTTTCTTTTCACATACCTTTTCCGTTTGAAAAATAGGGATCTGGGATTTTCTTTTCACATACCCTTCCCGATCGAAAAGGGGATCGTTAATGGGGATTTGGGATCTTTTTTCCGTTTATATGAGATATTTTAAATCAAATATGGTAAAATATCACATTCGATTTGAAATGTTTCATGTTTACATCTTGGACATTTTCAAAATTTTATTTTTATAGAGTATTAACTATTAAATATTCATATGTCAACATGTAAAACTAACACCAAAAGGAACTCCACAGTAATATCATGTGTCAATGTCCACCTACATTAATCATAACACATCAAGTAATATCCAAAAAATTACAGCACCATACATAATCAGGCATGAGAATAGGGTTCGGATCCCCATCCCTACTCGATCCCTGTTTTTTGGGAATCTCCGAGTCTCAATCGTGTCTCATTCCTATGCATAGTACCAATAACTTTAAGGGTCCGTTTAATTTGTAAGATTGTTTTTGAGTGATTTGGATTCATGGAGGAATTTAGATTGCAATGGATTTGAAATCATTGGTTTGTTTGGGTTGTAGAAATTGGAATGGAATTAGATTCAAATATTTATCAATAATTTATAAAAAAATTACGTTTTTATTAATCGATTATTACAAAACAAATGTTTTTAATATTTGTTTTAAACCTTATTTCATACAATTCTACAAAATTCCATGAAATCCCGAATATCCCCTAAGGATTTCAAAATCCAATGTTTGTAGGATTTCAAATCCGGATAATTCAACAAACCAAATATGGAATTAGAATATATTTGAAATCCAAATCTTTTTAAATCCATTCCAGCAAACCAAACGGGATTTAAAGGTATCATAAAAAAAATAGGGAAATTTTCTAAAAACTTCAACTAATTTTTCCATTTTAAATGATCAAGTCCATGATTTTTTTATGAATGAATAAAACATTAAACTTTTTCATTTTGAATGATCAAGTCTCTCAAACATTTTTTTAATAAATAAATCATTGAATTGTTAGAAATTAGTTATTTACATCTTCTTTAACCCTCTCAAACAATTCTTTAAATAAATAAATCATTGAACTTTTAGAAATCGGTTATTTATATCTATTTTAACCCAAAAAAATACTATTAACTGAGTAGGAAGGTTTTAAATAAAATGAAAACTTAATCAGTTTTATTTTTCTCAAACTTTATGTCATTTGAACTCCTCGCACCCAATGACATTGCTTCCCCCAGACAGAATGGAGAATAGATTATGATGGAGCGACCGAGAAGGGGGAGGGGGAGCGATATCGTTGGATGCAAGAGGTCTGAATGACGTAAAGTATGAGAACGATAAAATTGGTTTAGGCGTTTTTGCTTTAACATCTTCATAGTTGGTTACATTTAGATCCTCTCCAATGGATTCTACAAAATGGAAAATCAAATCTCAAAATCTCCAAAAAAAATTACAATCAACTCGAACAGATTCTCTATTTTAGAGATTACAACATTTATTATATTATTGAAATATTTTATACATTAATAAAATAAAATATCATTTCTCTCTCATTAACATTTAACAATAACATATTTTATTGGTGGAAATATAATTAAAAAAATGTCCATCTCATAGTAATCATTTTTGAAGAGTTCTTCAAATTTAGAGGATTTTACACTTCCTCTCATGTGTTTCTCCATTTTGGACGATCTGTGAGAGTAAAATATTCCTCAAAATCTTCATTTTAGAGGATTTGTTAGAGACGTTCTTAGTTCTTTTGGGTTAAAATGATGTAGGTAACCAAAATTTAAAGTATGATTTTGATTATTAAAAAAATCGTTACTGAACTTAATCATTTAAAATGAAAAAAGTTAAATACTTTGTTCCTTAAAAAAAGTTGTAAATCATGATAATTCAAGATATTTTAGTTTAGCCTAAAAATTAGAACAAATTGCAAGGTTTCTCCGTCAACCATTCAGACTCCGAGACATGTATTCTCGTAGACGTCTTCCCCCAAAGTGGTGAAATTTTGAACTTTCAGGAAATTCGACTTTTTACATATTTAGACCCACCATCTAAACAAAAAGTGGATTCCGCCAATTAACACGATTGATTGGATGTTATTTCTCTAAAACCCACAAAATATGCTATTTTTCATTTTTCGTGCTACAAAAACCACTAATTGTATTTGTAAGAAAGCTTAATGTATCCAGATAGCATGTGATAATGGCAAACTTGCAAAACAAATCTCTTTATACCAAATGGTAATTGATCTAGCTGTATTCTGGTAACCAGTCTTCATCGAAAGGGTTCAACATCACAAAATACGTGTGTATCAATGTGTAGCGTTTGATTTAACACCCGCCTTTATAAAATAGCAACTCGATTCATCTCGAGGCATGAATATGTGCTTCAGACCTTTGTCTTTGATGAAACGTAATTTCTTGAACACGAACCCAATATATCGCACACAGAGACAGAATTAGTGTCGATAGTAGAGGTAGACGGACCTCGCCTTTGCCCTTACAAAGTTTGTTCTTGTGAAGACCCCATTTTGCAAAACAAAAACACAAATACAAGACACATGAGAAAAGTAGCATAGCAACGTGCAAATATGGAGCACGGACATAAGGTAAAACACTCATCTAAACGCATGAATAGATACGTGTTACAAGGTTTTTGGCTTATACGCGCGCCTTAAATCCAAAGCATGTTCAAAAAAAAATTCCGAACATGTACTCGTTTTCTTACACAAATATCCATCTGACATAATAGGATGAATGGAGTTTATGTGATGAGACAGAATATGCACACTATTCATGGCTTTCGGTACGCGTATGTGAAATCCCTTTGAGCCTAAATGTATCTGATTGCACATTCTTTATAGAAACTATCGCTTGACGAAGCTGGTTGTTGAGATTGGCCTGCAGTGATCGAGGTGAAAGCTGACCTGGTTGCGCAAGAACTTCAATGGTTCGGCTTGCTGCAAGGTTCACCTGTGAAACACCATCATTAGAAGTTCAAGTTTGATTACTCTGATTTTTCTAAATATAACGCAGTAGAATATAGATTACCAAAATGCAACGAACTCTGCCTTGATTCTTATTTTATGTAACTATGATCAAATTTTCCCTATTTGGTACCCATTTTGACCGGTAACCAGTAGATCTTGTAACCAAGATGATGTCGATGACAAGTTGTCAAGTTAAATTGTGATTTTGGATTATATGGAAAAATGTCAATCAAAATCAACTGATGCCACATAGGCTAAAGCCCTATGATCATATAAAATGGGTTCATTGCAAAAAAAAATCAGCAGCATTTTTCCCAACATAACGGATTGATGAAAACTAGGGTTACAGGAGATGGGATAATATAGAATAACAAGGCAGATAGGTTTAGCATTTCACCTGTTTGATGAGTACATACAGCGTTGGAAGAACGACATGATTTATCGACATTCCTTGGGGACTCTCCCTACTACCCCATCATTTCCTCTCTATATGCATCCCTCTGATACATGTCTATGGGTCTGATAGCTGTTCCCAGAAACAGGATCAAGTTATTTAGGTTTTAACCTTAAGGGTTGTTTGTTTACCTCTTAATAGTTCTATTAAGAGGCAGCTTTTGAATCGTTAAGAAGTGAATTTTGTTTGGCAAAGAAAAGGTCTACATCTTAATGGTTCTAAAACCCTCTGAACGATTTTGTATCTTGGGCCTCCCTTAACCATTCAGCGCCCTAATTTTACTCTTAACAATTACCAAATAATCATATTTCATTTTACGTTGTATCATAAGAGTCTCTTAATCATTCTGACTACTTAATCATTATGTACCAAACTGTTCAGCAACTGCCAAACAACCCCTAACAATTATTATTTTTAGATGTTTTTGTGTTAGGAAGGGGCATCCTTCTGTTAAGCAAAGTTGTTCAGAAGGTCATGCATTTAAAAAGATCTATCATATGGTCATTCTCCTAAATAAATCCTAGTGATGCTCTCGATCTTGGTCACCTAAATCAGGTCTTATGCATTCCCAGTGTAAATATAACACTGACATGCACGCATGCTCTTCATCTTAGGTGATTGATATCGGTGTCACACATTGCATGACCATTAACAACCATTAGGTGCTGTTTGGTATCATGGAATCCATGGGATTTCTTCAAGGGGAATGAAATGGTCAATTAATTTGACCAAATACCAAATCTTTTGTTTGGTTCCTTCACTTCTTGAAAAGAGATTTGATCATTCATTCCCATAAGTCAAGGAATTGAATTCCATTCCTTGGCAAATGTAACAAATTTCATAATTTGATTTTTAAACAACAAAAATAACATTTGCATCCAATTTAACCAACACCACCACCCCACCCACTCCCACTACCCCACTGCCACCGCCGCCACCACTGTTACCCATCACATTTCCCCCCAACCCCCAAAAAACCACCGTCGTTGCCACCATCATAGTAGGATTGTTGCCGTCACAGCCACTACTCATCCACCCCCCGCAAACATCGCTGCCACAACCACACCATGTTGACGCTGTCACAACCACCACATCACTACTACAACCCACCCCACCACACAAACCTCCGCCGCCGCCAACACGGTACTATTGACACCGTCACAGCCGCCACCCTCTCCACCCCCACAAACCACCGCTTTCGCCACCACAATACTACTGTCGCCGTCACAGCCGCCACACACCCACCTCACCCACACCGACCACCACCCCTACCAGCATGCAGATTCCAAATTCTTTTGAGATTCCATTCCAATTTTTGCTAACCAAACGCGTGATCAAATTCCATTCCAATTCCTTCAAAATCAACTTCCTTTGATGGATTTCAATTCCTCCAAATTCCATTCTGAGAACCAAATGCCCCCTTAGTACTTTGCCCTCCTATTCCCTTGCCAATGACACATCTTGAGCTAGTAGCATAGAATGCCTTACAAAAGTTGAATCTACCTAAAGTTCCATATTTCCATGTTCACATATAATCCCATATCTACTAGCAAGATAATATATCATCATAGTTGTTCAAAAGCATTTTCCCCTACTCGTATTTTTCAATGACATGAGCATAAAGGATGCCCATGAGGCCATGACCATAGGGCATTGTTCTTTAACCACGTCAAAGAAGTTGAAACCAAAATTTCCTCTATTCTCGAATTATTATGTCATATCCGTGAGCAAACCATATACAAAGAAGTTGAAACCAAATTTATTCTCTACAAAGAGTCTAGACATGTTAGTTCTTTATTTAAATTAGTACATTATGATGTTTAGGAATCTTACCACACCAAGTTTACTTTGAATTTGAAATATCTTATACAAGTAGTTAATACGTAAAGTGCACATGTTGGTAATGCATGGGTCTAGTATAAATAAGAGTGTGAGGATCAAAAAGGAGTTTGTGCGAGTCCTGTCGAGCCTCTCGAAAGCCAAAAAACCTCTTGTTAAATCATTTGATTTTATCCAATTAGAATTTACATGTGTACCAATTTCACTGTGTGTTTCCACCGGTGTACACAATTGGGTACGAAACAAGGACGAGAGGAGGCAAAAATCGTGATGATATGTGATGATTTCAAATGAGGAAGGATATGGAGATTGTCAATGCGATGATAAACAGACTAATCAAGCTTTATGACGAGCTGCTAAATATTAGCACTGCCACAGTTCCACCTCAGGTAGAAGATACAGAGAGGAATCAACATGTTCGTGATGTTAAAACGGAAGAGAAGAGAGAAATTACACTTTAAAGAGATGAAAATCGATCATATCAAATCCATCACTGGGGAGCACCACCGCCGTTGCCGATCTCACCACCATTGACGTCGTCATCATTCTCTCCACGCTCACCAGCATCACTGCGTCATCGGAGGCCCCATTATGGTCTTTTCCTCATCATTGATAGAAGTAAATGCCACAGAAAGGGTACTGACCAAAAGAGTGCGGCCAAGAAGGAAAAAGCAGAGATACCATCAAAAGCCCATTCTAGGGGTTCTATTATGGCCCAAGCCCATAATGGACTTAAATGGATCGATCAAACCGGAGTCTACTTTCACAACGTCGAGGACAATGTTACAGGGAGCTTGGTTGGGTGATGGTCGTCAGAAACCTCCACGGCTACTATGACCCCCCACCATTACTGCCACTAGTACCGACCCTACTAACGCCTCCACCATGGCCACTGTCTCCCTAACGCTCGATGTCCTCACAATGATCACTGCTGCTAGCCTTAAAACAAGGGGATACCATCAAGCCTTCAATTGGATATCGAAGGGGGAAGGGTTCATTAAGAATATAAAGGAGAAATTAGAGCTACTGGACGGTGGTGGAGCCCCAGATATGGGACCAGGAACCAAAAATTCAGGTACATTTGAATCACGTGGTAGGATTAATTAATCCAAAAACAATGAAGTTAGTGGGCGTTATTAAGGGGCTTAGGTAGTGTACTCACTTAGACTGGTTTCACCCACAATTTCTTTAAAAAAAAAATCAGTTGAGAAGTTTCAGTTGCTGATAAGTAGTACCAACGAGAATAAGTTCACTATGTGAAGAAGAGAGGTTGAGAAAAGAATAAGCATTTGTAAGGGAGTTAAACAATGTATTCAACGGGGGTGAAATCATGGATGAACTTTCATCAATTTGTTGAGGAAATCTCATGTAATTACAAGGGTTCAATGGCTGGACACTGTCTTGAAGTAAAGGTTCCAATTGCAGACAAACTGAAGAATAACCAAAGTAAGAATGGTGGGAGGATTGTTCAACAAACTTTCCCATCAATCTCGCTCCCTGATATTTGTGGATGTTGAGTTGGCGGAGTTGCCGCAGTTGCCATTTCCCAGCAGCCTTGGGTTTTTCTTATGGATTTGAAAGGCATCCTCGGCTAACGTCGACAATTCTTAGGTGGGTTGTTGCTAATGGTGCTCTAGATGATCTGAAATCTATGAAAGATAAAGCGAGGGAGTGGTGATTGGTTGTTCCCATAGATATATACATCACCATTCATGAAGCAACACTTTATACGACATACATATGTTTGATGGGAAGGGTAATCATTACTTTCACTCTCGAGAACAAGGTTATCATTAGATGTTGAAATTTCACCATCTCAATTCTCAACTATGGGCATGGGGAGGTAGTTAGAATCTACAATGAGAATTTTGGGCCGAGAACCGATGATGTTTTGGATGATTTGATGTTGGTTAATGGCCTTATACATGGCTCGTCCTCAACACAAAATTTCTATTGTTGAAGATGTGAGAAGAATGCCAACATTTTGTATTCACGTGCATGATATGGCATGAGACTCGACCACCATTGGTTTATAGCAGTGGATGATGAGTGGATTGTGCTTCCCAAGCGGAGGGACAAAGCTTAGATTATGGAACTGGGACTACATGGCAAGGTGCAGACGTGCAGTTGTTATGAACCAAGCTCTCAATTGGTTAACGGGATCAAAACAGAGAAATAATCGATTGCATGATTAAATGGAACGTAACTCATAACATCTAGCATTCGAGAGGCTAGTCTCTCCTAACAAAACAATGGCCAAACTTCCGAAAATCCAAGGCACAAAGTGGCAACCTAACTCGAGAACATCATCAAACTTCCCACCAGTTCCCTTGATAGCAATAGTGGATTGTACTATTTTTTTTTAAATGGCAGATATTCTACATAAGGAGAATAAAGAGATGAGAGCTCAGATTGCTGAATTGGAGAAGAGCATTATGAACTATAAAGATAAATACATAAACATTTTTTGTGAAAATCATTCAAATGTGGAATTTATTGCAAACCTACAAAAAGATCATAACAGAGCATTAGAAAGAATTGAGAATGATTCCGAGTATCAAATTAATAAACTTGAAAATTCTTTGGATAATGTTAGAAAAGATTTTGATAATGAATTRAAAATATGGARTAAWGCTAATAAAGATCTTTTCAACAAACTCCAAGAAGTTCAGAATGAATTAAGAGCTGAA